GAGAGAGAGAGAGAGAGAGAGAGAGAGAGAGAGAGAGAGAGAGAGAGATCTAAAAATCAATAAAAAGAATTTAAAAAAAGAAGTTATAGAGACTACATGCCTGGAGTGGCCTGCATTCTGTGCCATTCCTTCCAGTTGAGAGGAATTTCAATTAGCTGTAGCAACCACTTACACCTGATGTTTATCACAACTTGAAAACTGGAGGCTCAACAATTCCTAGTCCACTTCCTGCCTCAGAGGTGCACAGCCTGAGATGACCCAGAGAATCTTAGATTAGCAGAGCCCATGACCATCTCCCTTCACTTGTATTCTGAGCACCTCAGCCAGATGGAATCATTTTATTTATTTTTATTTTTAATGATGTGTATTTTCTCCTTTTTTATTTTTTATTTTTGAGAGAGAGAATTTTTTTTAGTATTTATTTTTCAGTTTTCGGTGGACACAACATCTTTATTTTATTTGCATGTGGTGCTGAGGATCGAACCCAGCGTCCCATACATGCCAGGTGAGCGCACTACCCCTTGAGCCACATCGCCAGTCCTCCTTTTTAATTTTTAATTGCATATTTTTATTCTATACTTTCTTTTTTACCCTTTTATTATTTTTATTTATATACTTTTAAAATTTTATTCTTTGTTCTTCATTCTAATGTTTTCAAACAATTTGTTTACTTTTTTCATTTAAAAAAAATATTTTCTTTTGTTTAATCCCAGGGCTGCACATGCTCCAGCATAGTGTTTACCAATCAAAGGTAAAACTTGGAATAAGACTCACAAGAAAGAGTTTGGACATTTATTAGTCACTCATTTCCCAGGGTCAGCAGGCCAGAAGAATTAGAGGGCTGCAGTGGGAATATACAGGATAGGTCACAAGCCAATTGTGCAGATAGATTTCTTCAGATGTTTTATAAGTATACTATTTTACTTTAAAATCATGGTTGCTTTACTTTGATCCCAACTTAAAGACTGCAGACATTTCTTTCATCATCACATTCCTTGGAGTCTTTCAGGAGCAAGTTTTTCTAGGCACCAATTTACTTAAAACAGAGAAAAGATCATACCTGAGATAAACTCTTACCAGAGTTTGCATTGTGTCCTTGGCTCTTGTGTCTTCACAAGAGAGGATTTAAAGCAAGGCACAAGACTTGGTAATAGTATAACAAAGTTTATTAGAAGAGAAAGAAGTGGAGGAAAGCACCCTCAAGGGAGATAGAGAGACTTCTGGCTGCTTGGGGACCTCACATTCTACTCTGAGCACTAGACAAGTCTTACTCCACCAGGGTGGGGTTAGGCACACATAGGAAAGCTCTCTTTGGGTTTGTGTAGTCTCCTATTATCTATCCTGGATAAATCATGATGTTCAGAGAGCATCAGGCATTTCATAAAGTCTACTGCCATGCACCACTAAGCCTCATCTCCTCACCTCTCCTTTTGCACTGAAAAATCATGGT